CGCCGCCCCCGCCCCGGCCCGGGCAGGAGGAGCCCGGGGTGGGGCGGCTGCTCGTTCTTCCTAGGGAAATTCCTCCAAAATCTACTGTGGAGAGCAAACTTCTGAAGCTGTGCTTCCTGGTCAAATAAATTAATGAAGTGAGCGTGGCCTGCCGCCTCCTCGCAGCCGCTGTAGTTCAGGCTGGGGGAAGTGAGAGAGGAGAGCTGCCCGTCTAAGAACCGTCCCGTGTTTAAGGGATCCTGTCCCTCAGACAACCCAGACGGTTTGAGTAGTCGGGTGGGAACCCAAGCCAACTAGGAAATGGCTGGGAGAAGTCCATTGAAATGACGGGCGCGTGCCTGCCCTCGGTAGAGAAAGACCTCTTAGCCGGGAAACAACCCAGACAACAGCCTCACACCCACTCACTGCTTGTTCCCGCTTATTTCCCAAGGCTGATCCAGTCTTCCTCCCTTTCACCGACTGCACCTCTGTCCTTTTAGTTCTAAGCTTCCAAGATTTAAGTCCCTTTTGTGATCACATGAGCGACCCATGATTTTCATACTGATCTTTCCTCTTAGGCCCTCTGATTCCTTTCTCTAATTACAGTTCCCGAGTCCTTGGGAAAGTAGATGATATAAAACATACTGATTTCTTTTAGAAGGAATATTAGTGGAAAAGGGAAAAAGTTACCCATGGACTTCCTTTTTTTTAATCCTAACAAAAACCTTCTGGTGTAGGTATCATTACTTATATTCATCAGATGAGGAAACTGCCAGGGAGATAAAGTAAGTTGGCCAAAGCCAAATGAGTTAGTAAGGTTAGCACAACGATTTGAACCAATGTCGGGCTGAAGCCAAAGTTCACCAGTATTCCACTGGCCTACTTGACAGTGAATGGTGCATCTAGGGAAGGAAGGGTCAGTGATCAGATCTGATCAGAGGCTGCCAAGAGCTGGGCACAACCAGCCTATGTCCTGCAGGTCTCTGGACCACTGCAGAGCTGCTCATCTACAGAGAACGCTGCATCTGACTTCCCCGTATTTCAAAGTGCACCATTTCAAAGGCTCTAGAACTTGGTAGGTGCACCAAGCCAAGACATCGTTTTCTGTGACCACGAAAGAAGACAAAAGAAGTGAGCAGCACAGTCATTTCAACTTACAACTGCTTTGAAACTCTCACTTCAGCCATTAAGTCCAGCTCCTTTTCCCACCAAACTTTTGACAAGAGCAAGACAGAGGGCTTTGACTTTCAACATGTCTGGTTCTTCTAGTTCACTGCCTTGGGTGTTGAGGACCCAGGCAAAAGTTAACAAATGCTTAACATTAAGAAAGTAGGACAGCCGGGCGTGGTGGCGCACACCTGTGATCCCAGCACTCGGGAGGCTGAGGCAGGAGAATCACTGTGAGTTCGAAACCAGCCTGGGCTACACAGTGAGTTCTAGGTCAGTCTCATAAAAAAAAAAAAAAAAAAAAAAAAAGAAAGAAAGAAAGAAAAAAGAAAACAAAGAGTAGGGCAAAAATGGAGGAAAAGTTGAGGGAGAGCAGCTGGACAATCCACAAATGGGTTCATCCGTTTCCCTTCTTTTTCTCTTCCATCCTTCTGAATGATGAGAATATTTCCTTCTCTTTCTTTTCCACCCTGCCTCCATTTTCTCAGAAAAAAATTGAATGTATATAAACCATAGTGAGTTCCCTCACGGTCGCTGAGTAAATCAATAGTAGAGCTTTTAGATTTCCTCCTTAAGTCATTCTCAGAAAGATAATTTTCTTGGTAGTTCCCCACTTTCCTCTTCTCATACAGTGTTCAGTTTCACTGAGCTGTAGAAAGAAACTGGCAGGTGGATCCGGTCAGTTATTCCACAAATGTGTGAGCTTCTGTTACATGAGAGAGACTAGGGAGCTCAGGGGTGAGCAGGATGTGGTTTGTACTGTCCTCCAGCAACTCACCACCAAGTCTACCACCCTTTTTTAAAAAACCCTAACCCTAAAAGCACTTACCTCATTACTGCTTTGAGGCTGACCTCTTATAACTCAGAATGGGCGTGGGCATCATCACCTTGACTTATTTTGTGACTAAGGGGTTTACTTACTTACCTATACTATTTTAAACGGTAACCTCTGCTCTTTATTCATTCCCAGCTTTCACAGAATCGTGGTGATAGTATTTCAAAGACAGCTACTCTAGTCCCCACTGAAAAAATTCCTTTTTTTAAAAAAATTTTTTGTTTTTGTTTTTGTTTTTTGTTTGGTACCAGGGATCACACTCAGATACTTGCACTTGGCAAAGCAGGTGGTGGAACCACTGAGCGAAATCCCCGGCCCAAAAAGAGAACATGCCTTTTAGAACATGCCTGATCCAGGCTGGGGATGTACCTCAGCAGTGCCACACCTGCCTGGCAAGTACAAGGTCCTGAATTCACTCCCGGTACTAGGGAAAAAGAAGAACATGCCTGATCAATCATGACCCAGCTTCTACATTTGAAAATTTCATACTGGAGAATTACGACCCTGTGACGCGATCTGGGGCACTACGATAATGATTTGACTCACTGAGTCCAAACCTGTCTTTCTGTAACCTATGCACATTGCTGTTTGTCATGTGCTCCAAAGTAATATCAAATCAAACACTTCCACGGAGCTGCCAGAAATCACTGTAATGGAAGATTATTATTCCTAGACACCCCTCTGCTTCTGTTTAATTTTTCATTTAATATGGTTATCAGTTTTTTTTTATTTTTATGATTACCCATAATGTAGAGTGTGGACTCTTATCCTGCAGACCAGAATTTATGCCCCATTACTGCCATTTGCTACTGTGTAGCTTTAGGCAGATTTCTGAGTTCTTAGCTGTAACGTAGGGATATGAAGGGTCCTATTCAATGAGTCCTTTGGTCAAGACACGAAAAGCTCTGGCATGATGCTTGGCAGGGACCATAATAAATGCACGCACACACAAAAAGCAGTCCTGTTATTGTCAGTGCTGTACAGAAGACTATATGTGTCGTGACCAGTAGAGATGAAACCACGTTTACCCTTGTGAGATGGGAGTATCATGCTTACATTAGAAGCTGACATTAACCTAATTTCAGTCCAAGCTTGTAATCACATAAACTACTAAGATATGTTTGCCCAAACTTACCAGTTAGTTATTGCCTATAGGCAGGTTTTCAAATCCAAACAGAAATTTACTCTCATACCTGGAGTTTGTGATCATACTGAACTCATCCCTTTTCCTAGTCTGTGGCGGCTGCCATGAGTTTACTAAGCCAGTCATTCACCAAGCACTTTCTGGGTGTTACATGGTTCTAGGACCTAGCAGAAATCCACACAGACAGCAGCACTGCTCTTATTAATTTTACCTAATGAGGGAAGACAGGTAGCTATAAGTCAGGGAAGTAAGCATTATAAAGGAAAATAATGCAGGAGGATGGAGATACTACCTCACTTGGGGCAGACAGGAAATACTTCTCTGTTAAGGTGAGGTTTGAGATGAGGCCTGCATATATGCAAGTGCCTGTCCATAGAGTGTCCTAGGAGGGATCTGGAATCCTCTGGAATGACATCATTTTACAAGTTTTCTTTTCTTTCTTTCTTTTTTTTTTTTCTGGTACCTGGAATTGAACTCAGGACCTTGCACTTGCAAGGCAGGCACGGTGCCACTAAGCCACCTACCTACCCAGACCTCTAATTTTCTCTTCTATCCCAGTCTTTTCCTAAAAAACAAGGTGAAAACTGTGGGCCTTTTCTTTAAGGCCCAAGCCCAATTTGGCTTCATTGAACTTGTTTCAGGGTGGAAGGAGCAAGCCTAAATAACTAAATAACTAAATAACTTGTCTTTATGGGAAAAGACAAGACTGAGGAAAGAAGGGCCGGGGATTTAGCTCAGCGGTTCCGCCGCCTACCTTGTAAGTGCAAGGACCCAAGTTCAATCCCTGGTACCAAACAAAACAAAGACTGAGGAAAGAAAGAGAGAAATATCTGTTTCTCTTTAGTTATTTGTTCATCTACCAAAATATATATAAGTGGCTGCTATGTTTTAAGGGCTGCAGATACAGCAATGAACAAAACAAACATAAAACCCTGTCCTCATAAGGCTTACATTCTAGGGAAGACAAACCCAAAGGAGTAAAGTTATGGAGAGTGTATATTTACTCTTACATATGTGTGCATTATAGATATATAGATAGATATAGATTTTTTTTTTTTTGGTACCAGGGGTTGAACTTGGTCCCTGCACTTGCAAAGCAGGCACCAGAATCACTGAGCTAAATCCCCGGCCCTGTGTGCGTTATATTTTTACATGTGTGCAGGAACGAGATAGTGACAAAGCATATGAAGAAAAATTAAACAGAGCCCAGAAGAGTAGGTGTCAGGGTGGAGAAGGCTGCACTTCTAAACTGGATACCGTGGCCAGAGGGTGGAGCAAGGGGTGGGGCACTCACCTGGCACACACAGGTGTTCGGTTCGAGCCTTAGCACCAGGACAGGAGGCAGACAGACAGACTAGAAGAAGGTGAGATCTGAGCAAATCTCCGCATTTATCACAGTCCTTTCTTCCTGTTTAAAATACTTGTGTTTTAAATACTTGGAAACTAGAATTTTGGAACATATTAAAAAGTGTACAGACCCAAAGTTTTCTTTGAGTCACCCATCCCGTTTACCACCCTTGGCCACAAAACCACGAGCATCTAAGTGCAGTGCTACGTCCTTTCACCCTCCCTGGTGATCAGTCACTACAGGTCCCGTTTGCACAGCCTATGCTGGAGGTTGTGTAAAATCCTCTGGAACCAAAGATGTAGCTGATGCCCACAAGGTCAGCAGGTTCCTGTGGAAAAAGGACCTCAGAACATTACAGAGCAGCTTTATGGAAGCGCAAATCAATATGCAGCCTAGTAGGGAATCGGGGACAACAGGAGAAGGGGTGGTGAGGAAGAGGAAGGTGTGGGCTGGGTAGAGAAGGTGAGGCGTCCGTCCCTGGAGCGAGAAGTGCTAAAGCACCTGGGGGGCAAGCTCTGCTCTGGGGGTGCTCCAGACCCGCCTGGCTGCAGCAGAGGCACTGAACAGGGAAGATGTGGACAGGGTTGGGTCCGCTGCCTGACACCTCTGCTCTCTGCCTTCAGACGTGTCCCCAGTGGTGGCTGGCCTCATCGGGGCCTCTGTGCTGGTGGTGTGTGCTTCAGTGACTGTCTTTGTCTGGACGTGCTGCCACCAGCAGGCAGAGAAGAAGCACAAGACCCCACCGTACAAGTTTATTCACATGCTCAAAGGCATCAGCATATACCCAGAGACCCTCAGCAACAAGAAGAAAATCATCAAAGTGCGGAGAGACAAGGACGGCCCTGGCAGGGAAGGTGGACGCGGGAACCTGTCGGTGCACACGGCAGAGGCTGGCCTGCTGAGCCGAGACAAAGAGCCCAAGGGGCCCGGCGCCGGCTCGTGTATAGACCAGTTACCCATCAGACTGGACTACGGGGAAGAACTGAGGAGCCCCATCACGAGCCTGACCCCCGGGGAGAGCAAAACCACCTCTCCGTCATCTCCTGAGGAGGACGTCACGCTGGGATCCCTCACCTTCTGGGTGGACTACAATTTCCCGAAAAAAGCCCTGGTGGTGACAATCCAGGAGGCCCACGGGCTGCCAGTGATGGATGACCAGACCCAGGGCTCTGACCCTTACATCAAAATGACCATCCTGCCTGACAAGCGGCACCGGGTGAAGACCAGAGTGCTGCGGAAGACCCTGGACCCCGTGTTTGATGAGACCTTCACGTTCTATGGCATCCCATACAGCCAGCTGCAGGACCTGGTGCTACACTTCCTCGTCCTCAGCTTTGATCGCTTCTCTCGGGACGACGTCATCGGGGAGGTCATGGTGCCACTGGCCGGGGTGGACCCCAGCACGGGCAAGGTCCAGCTGACCAGGGACATCATCAAGAGAAACATCCAGGTGAGCAGGAAGAGTGTGTGGAGTGGGACGGGGTTGGGGAAAACAAGATCTCAAGGCGACCAGGTGGGGGCAGGACAGGGGCAAGAGGGGCTGGGCCAAGGTCCTTGGCTACCAAGGTGAGCAATGGTCAGAGCCAAACACAAAGCCTGGTAGATTCGTTCTCAGAAGAACTTCCAGAGCAGAGAAGGGGCGGTTCCTGGTTGGCCTCGGATGCCGCGTCTCATTTGTCCAGGACAGGACGGCCCACCTCTTGGAGATCCTCCTCCAGGACTTATTTGTCACCCCTGAGAAACTGAAAAAATAGAGATCGTTAACTTTGCCTTCGGCTTCCTGTTCCCAACCCAGACTAGGGGTGTAAAGAGTATCGTGTGTGTCTTCTTATAAACGTTTTATAAGAACAGTTAGTGACTTGCTCCACCCTTCCAGGTCCAAACCTGTGCTTTTCTCCACCCTCCTCTCCCCATTTGCACTGGAAGAGGGGTGAGAACCCCCACTGCCTGCTCCCTCCTTCCCCAGTGCATTCCTGTGGGAGGAGAGCAGTGTACCTCCCACGCCCGCTGGGTCACCCTGCCCCGTGGGGAGGGAGGCAGGGCCGTGCTGTGCTGAATCCCTCGTCCGCAGGGCTTCCACTCAGCGCTTCCCAGCTGTGTGACAGCCTGAGCTCCTCGGGATCACGTACCTCACCTCAAGGAGCCTTCGCTGTACTGAGGAGAAAGACAAGCATTTCTGGCAGTTACCCTGCAGAGAGTATGGGAGGGCTGTAAAAGTTCTTGAAATTTTGAACTTAGAATTTTATTCCTTTTTCAGGGTATAAGTTAAGTGTTTAACAGCAAGACCTTTGAAGTCAGTCCGAATTCCACCAGCTAAATGACCTTGGGAAAGCTGTTCAGCTTCTCTAAGTCTTAGTTTCTCACAGGAATAAAGCAAAATGAGTGAATGTGCATAGTCCTTAGCACATAGTAAGCATGTGCTACACTGTGACTGTTACTATTGTTATATCTTTTTTCTTGACACAGGATCTCACTATGTCGTTTAGACTGCCTCCCCGCCATCTGTCTCTCATCTTCAGACTGAACTCCAGGGCATTCACATATCTCCAGCCTTTATTTTTATTTTGAGACAGGGTCTCACCAAGTTCCTAAATTGCCCAGCCTGGGCTCAGACTGGCAGCACTCCTGCCTCAGCCTCCCAGAGTGCTGGAATTACAGGCCTGCGCCACTTCACCTGGCCATGTTTCTCTCTCGATGCCTCTTGAGACCCAGAAGGGAGAAAGGGTTTTCAGTACTGAACCAAAGAGAACCCTAGACCAGCAGAGGCGCAGCATGCAACGAGAGCCCTGGGCAGTGTGCCCACTGAGGAAGGGCACTGTACCAGTGTGGGGGTGACAGGGAGCATCCTCTCTGGGCACGTGTCCTCGCCCCTCTGCTGTGAGGTGGGCACTGTCCCACTGCAGCCACCCAGTCAGGCCCAAAGAAATTGCTACCGCCTCTTGGCACACTCAGATCCCTCTTGTGGGGCCAGGGTAGTCCCGGAATCTTAAAGAACAGTAGAGGTTCATGGCTCATGGTCAGAGCACAAACCGCTGGGTCAGTGCCAGGCTCAGGGAGGCTCCTGGAGTCCGACGCCCAGGGAGCTGAGTGCTCTGCACGGGGAAGCAGGGGGTGGAGAGCCTGAAGAGTGCCTTGCTGCCTTGCTTCATCCCCTCCGCCTCCTCTCCACTGAGGCTCTCCCTCCGCGCACTGCCCTCACCGGGCTCCAGAGCTTCACTCCCTGCTCTGCCTGCCTCCCCTCCGCCCCTGCCCAGCTGGAGTCCTGCAGACAGCGCAGCTCCCCCAGGGGCTCCATGCCAGGGTGCAGCTGGTAGAGACTGGCAAGGAAAGGGATCGATTTGGACTGGGAATAAAAAGCGTCAAACACAGGCCCTGGACAGCGCACAAATAATGGCGCTTGCTAAACTGCCAGGGGATCGTGTGAAGACTGAATTTCTTTCCACTTTGTTGGCTCCTTTCAGAAGGAATAAGCCCGGCTAGGAGACTAAGCAGTGCAAGACCCCAGAGAGGCCCCAGACAGACTTCCAGCCCCCCAGGCTTCCTAAGTCCCTATCCCATCCCACACCAGTGGGCAGCACTGCCCGTGTGAGCCATGCCTGGTATTCCTAGCGCCACAGCCTCCCAATGCCTATCCCAAATCCTCCATCCTGCAGCCAAGTGCCTGCCCTTCCCAGGCTCCCCTCGGAGGCCACCAGCCAGCACTGCTCTGGACTACCTCCCACTGCCTGGGCCACACAAGGCGCCCCCTTAGCATGGGTCCAGTGACCTTCCCGCGGAGTCTGGGAGAGACTGCAATCACATTTCTGTACAGTCCTCACCCCTAACTGCACTTCCCACACCAGAAAATTTATCTCTTGTCCTCCCATTACTACAGTGTGAGCCTTTTTTTTTTTTTAAGACAGGTTCTCAGTATGTAGACCAGGCTGGCCTCAAACTCATGGTGATCTTCCTGCCTCAGCCTCCTGAATGCTGGGACCACAGGCATGCACCACCACGCCTGGCTCCAGACTACTCATTTCTCACTCTGTCCACTCTACTGCCTAACTTTGGGCAAATAAATAGCCAACCTCTCTGGGCCTTAGGCTCCCTCCACACTGGATCGGGAAAGAGAATAGCTTCCTTTGGGAGCACTTTTATCTCTTGTAAATACACAGAAAGACACAGGAAGCATAAAAAGCTCCGAGCCAGGTCACTTGTCCATGCCTGTGGTTCCAGGTATCTGGTAAGACTGAGGCAGGAGAATTGCTTGAGCCCAAAAGTTCAGGTCTAGGCAACATGATGAAACATCTCTCCCACCCCTGCCTTCTCAGAAAAACATTTTTTTGATTTTTCATGAAAGGAGGGCACAGTATCAACCACAATACCCAACATCTCTGAGCTGCATGTGGACTTTTTTCATTTTAGGTAGGGCCTTGTTAGGTAGCACAAGATGGCCTCAAACTCGTGATTCTCCTGCCTGGGCCTCCTGAATGCCAGGATGACAAGCGTGGGCCGTCACATCTGGTAGAACGAATTTCTTTTAAGAGAAACTGCTTTCTAATATTTTACTCATGATGCTTGCACTGCTGTCATAAATCCCCACAGAGAGGAGGGAGGTACAGAGGAGACGTGGGGAACAACTGCGCGAGGCTGCCTGAATTTCCCGAGGTCATGCTGATGACCTGCAACACTGGTCACCAGAATGTGAGGGTTCTTAAAGTCTCAGATTTCAAAGGACCGTAGAGGCCATCCAGTCTAGCCAGTGGGACTAAAAGAGAAAGAAAAAGCAGCTCATTTTTAGCGGGGGGATGTAGCTAAAGACTGAGGTGTTGCTTCTTTTACTTTCTGAACATTGTAATTTAGGGTAGGGAAGCAATGTCCTTGCCTGTCCTCCTTCCTCACCCTCCTCTTGCTGCTTGCTGCCCCCAACAGGGTCTCTGCCTCCCTACGCCCAGGGCTGGGAAACAGAGCCTCGGTCCCAGCATGCAAAGGATCTTTTCAAAAGAAAAAACAATTGACCTCCAGTTGTAATGGGAGAAGAGGAGGGGCAGGAAGGACCGCCTGGAGCTGCCCCGCTGCCTGAGGCTGCATTCAGGTGGTGCGGGCAGGGACATTCTGCACACCTAAGGTGGCCAGAGGTACAGGAGGGGCCCAGAGGGGCAAGAGTTGTGGTGGAGTGACTGTCAAGTTGTCTACTTTCCCAAAGAACTAGAGAAGGGGAAAAGGGATTTTCATTAGGAAGATTAGCTATAACGGATGACTTAGAACTCTTAAACCAGTTAAGAAACATGAGTTATCATCGTCGGGGAGGGGCGGTACTATGGATCACACCCAGGACTGTGCCCATGCTAGACTCCCACTCTATGACTTTTTAAATTTTTCAGACAGGATCTCCCTACATTGCCAAGGCTGACTTCAAACTTGTGTTCTTCCTGTCTCAGTCTCCTGAGAAGGTGTGTTAACGGGCATGGGTCACCACATCAGCCCTAAATATAAACTTAGAACAGTGTCAGTCATACTTACAAATAAAACTATGCCTGAGGCCCTGGTTCAATCCTCAGCACTCCCACACATAAACACCTGTTTTTTTACACCAGATTTCTTTTGTACTACCAACCTATCCTTCTATATATAAAGTTAGAATTATAGGGCCGGGGATTTAGCTCAGTGGTGCCGCTGCCTGCCTCACAAGTGCAAGGTCCTAAATTCAATCCCTGGTACCAAAAAAAAGAATTACATTCAAAGACTGGATATTTAGTACTTAGTACTCAAAGATGGCTTCAGAGATGATATCAAATCTAATTAACACTTCATTTGCACGCAAATGATAAGGGCCAAGCTAAGCCAAAAGTTTCTAGATCAGTACTGCCCGGCAGTGATAGAAATACTGTCCAGCATGGTAGTTATTGGCCGTATAGGACTAGTGAGAAATCAAACTATGGCAAGTGTGACTGAGGAACTAGAATTTTACTTTCATGTAATTTTAATGAATTTAAATTAGCATTTAAATAAACACACATAGCCAGTAGCAGCTGTATTAGACAGCTCAGTTCTGAATGCTTGGGAAGGCACTTGATATTCTTTTTCACAAAGGATTCTTGTCCATTTGGTTACAGCTAATAGTAAAAGTGAGTTTATGTTCTCCGATCACATTCTGAGTAGTGGCAAAAGGAAACCCCAGAAGCATGCTGGTTGGCAAGGGCAACCACACTGAGATTTTAAACCAGTAGAGGATAATTCCCACGGATCTGTGACAACAGGTAAGTGTAAGGACAAAATGTGGGGCTACGATCTAGCATAGAAAAAACATTTTCTCCATACTGAGGGCTGAACCCAGGGCCTTCACAATGAGCTAAGCCCCCACTGCTTTGTGTTTATTTTGAAACACAGTCTCTCTAAGTTGCCTGGGGGGGGACTGGAATTTACAGTCCTCAGAGAGGCAGCGGAACGCCTGCCTGTCATGGTTAAGGCCCGTGAGCCCCAGCACCACATACAAAAGAAAAACTAGAGGCCAAGTTTAAGCTTAACTCATGTTGTATGCCCTGTGAAAGGCTTCACATATGCTCCTGATAGGAAATATAGATTCAAGAAAAAACAATTTTTTTCTGGGACTGAGGATTGAACTCAGGACCTCGAGCTTTGCAGGGCAGGCATGGCACCACAGAGCTACATCCCCAGCCCCGGTGAAAGGTTTAAAACTGTGTGACATACTGTATTCCATTTCTCGAGATTACTTCCGGCCCACGCTTAGAGCAGCCGCCGTTCCCTGCGGCTCCGTACCAGGGCGGCACAGTGGTGTCTGGTCCGGCAGCTTCCTGAGCGAGGGAGACCATCCTCTCAGTCCAAAGCCCTAGGAGAGGCCTGGCGCTGAAGGTGTCGCTCGCTCCTGTGGCGGCTCAGTGTGAGGAGTCCTGGGTTGGTGACCTCTCCTTGGGGCTCTGATGACAAGGACAATGCAGTCTGACAGTGAAGGGATGATACTGTGCCAAATTTAAATTACTGTGCCCTGAACCCCTCAAAGCTCGCTTCCTTTCGTTTCCTGGTCCCAGCCTTTATCTCCATTCTCTACGCTAGAAACACAAGCAGGCATCCTCCCAGTCGCTAGTCAAGCCTCTACAGGCCATAAAAATCCTGCTGCAAACCTCACCCGTGCCCTTCTGCCTGCTCCTCCACAGGAGCCCTGGGCACGTCCCTGGCATTGCTTCCTCGGCCTCTTGCAGCTTAGCTACCTCTGTATGCGTGTGCGTGTGCGCGTTCATGTGTGTGGTACTAGGGATTGAATTTAGGGCTTTCACACTAAGCTACATCCCCAGGCTGGGCTTGAACTTGTGATCATCCTGCCTCAGCGGCCCAGCGTGCCGAGATTACAGGCATGGCCCACCAGCCTGGCTGCAGCTGCCTCTTCTTCACTTTGGTCTTTCTTGACTTTAGATCACTTTCCAGTTTTCTCTAAAATGATGATCATGTTAACAAAATGAGAATGACTCTGCTACCCCGACAACTGCAGACTGCCCCTTGGCCGCGTGCTGGAGCCGCTGCCGACTGTGGAGAGCTGATCCGGGTCTCCACACCCTGCTCTCACCCCCACCCTGGTCCCTGACCAGCCTCCCGCCATCTAGACGCAGTGGGCCCTTGTGCCTGCTGCTCCTGTCAGTCTGCGTGCTGTGCACTCTCTGCTCAGGACCTCAGCCTCTTCCCCTCATCACCTCAGCCCAGGCAGCAGCCTCCAGAGGGCTGCCCGCCTCCGTCTCCACAGATCGCCCGGAGCACCTGTGCACACAGCTGCATTCTCTGATGAGTACATGTTTGTTTACAGCTCTGTCTCCTCTGCTGCATCTCAGGCTCCTGGAGAGCGAGAGCTGAATCCTGTCAGGACTTGGCATGCAGTAAGCATCCACATGCTGTTGAAGATGTTCTTCAAGGGCTAAAGATGTGGTTATGCCTGCCTGTAATCCCAGCACTAGGGAGGCTGAGGCAGGAGGGTCACCCAGTCTGGGCAGTGACTTAGTGAGACCCTGTCTCAAAATGAGAAATGAAAAGAGCTGGAGATGTAGCTTAGAGTGAAGGCTCTGCATGCAATCCCCAGTACCACGAAAGAGAGAGAGAGAGAGACAGTTTAAAGGACTTGTTTGAAACTTGAAATAGAGCCAAGAGTAAAATTTAAAGATGGACAGATGGGCCGGGGATTTGGCTCAGTGGTTCTGCTGCCTGCCTTGCAAGGACAAGGACCTGAGTTCAATGCCTGGTACCAAAAAAAAAAAAAGATTAACATAAAGATAGACGGCCCAGGATTTAGCTCAGTGGTGCTGCGCCTGCCTCTCAAGTGCAAGGCCCAAGTTCAATCCCTGGTACAAAAAAATTGAAAGATGGAGAAACAAAGACAGGCAGCTAGGGAGGAAGAGGCAGGTGGACGGGGGGCCGCCCTAGGACAGGGAGCGCCAGGCTCGGAAAGCTGCAGTCCTGGCCAAGGCCGTGTGGGGACCGAGCCCCAGAGTAAGAGAAGCTGCTGTTCACTCCGCAGCCCTCCTCTCCACATCTGTGTCTCTCCCCTCCCCTGATGCCGAGGATTTGAACTCAGGTACACTACCACTAAGCTGTGCTCCCAGACTACTTTTGTTTTTGGGTTTGGTTTGGTTTGGTACCAGGGGTCAACCACAGGTCCTCGCGCTTGCAAAGCAGGTGTGGTGCCACTGAGCTAAATCCCCGGCCCTTGTTTTTGTTTCTTTGAGACAGGGCCTTGCTGTGTAGTCCACAGCTGGTGTTCAGAACTCTTTCTTGATCACAAGAAGCAAATGAGAAACCAGGAAGCACAGGACACACTTGGAACCCCAGCATCGTGGAAGGACTGAGATAGGAGGGTTGCAAGTTCAAGCACAGCCTGGGCAATTGAGTGACCTAGCGAGATGCCTGAAAATTTAAAAAGAAAAATAAAAAGGGCTGGGGACATAGCTCAGGGTGAAGGCCCTGGGTTCAAACCCCGGTAGCGCACACACACAAGCAAATGCGAGAATGCCGTGTGCTGGTCCTGCTGGTTGTGCACAAGTCTGAACCCATTTCATCTGCTAGGCGTCCTATGAAGTAGATACAATGTTTGATCTCCGTCTTACAGATGAGAAATCCGAAGTCCAACACTGAGGTGTTGACTGCCTTGCCAAGGTCACTGACCAGAAAGAGCAGTCAGGATAAAGTGGAGGCCTCAGAGTCTGCGCTCGGAAG